CGGAAACATTTTCAATGCCTTTATTCCGGGATTACGCGAAATTTTGCATAGGAAACTGTCGTCCAACGTCCCGGTGTTGAAACATGAATGAATCTGTATGAATGGAGATAATCCGGGCCCGTCAACAATACGGGTGCGCTCAAAAGACCAAATCACACGTGTTGTCAATGAAATATGGAGCGTTTTGCATATCTGTGCGTATTAGATTATCTTTGGTTATGCTTTGTTGATATTTAGCGTAAAATATCGCATGTTTTGACAATGGAGTTTTGTTAACGCAAATCATAAAAACTGATCTATCTCTTTTCACTGATAATAATACACGGTGAACATAAAACAAATTGTTTTGAGCTACCTGTTTAAACTTTAAAATTGCAAATGAGCTAATTAGTATACTCAAGTAAATAAAAATAATCTTTATTTACATTATTAATAGCGATACTTATCCACCATTTGACCTAATTGACCCGTAAAATATATCAGATAAATGACATTTGTACATTATTTTAGATATTAAGCAAAAATCGGAACATTACCTAAATACCAACTTACACTATCAAATCATCTTTAGTTTATTTAAGAAATCGCTCTCTAACTGTTCATACACGTGTTCTAGTTAAATCCAACGGTTATCACCCGATACCCGGCGGAAGTTGGTGTAAGATTGCAACCGGATACGTTGCACCCCTTCTGTATGCAACTGTCGCACACTCGAGTTGCACAATACCTTGCACTTGGAACCATAGAGGTTACAATACTATAGCTATTCTTCTTATGTAGCTATACAATGTGTTACTGGTAATTGCAATGGTCATTTTACGTCTTTTTAACCTACTTCTAAAAAAGGAGGTTGTCAAATCGTCTGTTTGTAGTTTTTTTTTTTATTTGGTACTTAAGTATGTGGCCTTTACACTGCAGTGAGACGATCATGGCTGAAAATAAAATAATAAATAAAAAGTATACAGGGTGTAACTGTAAACGGAATGCTCTCGAATAATGCTGACAGAAAAAAATAGTTTTTACGTTTTAATCGTTTTTGCTTTCGTGTTATTCATACAACATCAGCCTTGAGCAATTGATTATATCATTGTTACTTGAAATAATCATTTAATTCCTTACTTATATGAAAATAAAATTTTTTTTAACCATCATCTGGCGGTGGTTTTGGGGAGCGTTCCGTTTACACCCTGTATGGTCTGTTTGCACTCGAATTTTGACCAAATTCAATTAATATTTAGAACTAGCTTGTGCCCGCGACTACGTAGGCGCAATTCTCCCTCCTTTTTTCTGTCGTAAGAACCTTCTGCTGACCATAACAAACGCAACAAAAAAAAAATCAGCCAAATCGGTCTAGCCGTTTCCAAGTTATGGCGTGACAACGGGAAACGGGTTTTATTTTCATATATACAGGTAGATTTTTAGTTAGTTCACATTTTAGTAATTAATTTCGTGTTGACATTCTTAATTTTCTAATAAAATATCACATTATGGTAAAAAATCAGAGAATAGAGATGACTACTTTTCAAAGTCGCCTACGCATCTTAGAATCTATTAAAATGTATCTTCTCTAATATATATGCATAAGTTCGGAGAAATTTCAAAGTTTTCTAAAATATAACTTTCCATTGAAATCCTTTTATTACACTGCAAACATATTTAAACCATAATAATATTCATATATCTCTATAGACCGGCCAAACCAATCATAAAACTTAACCTATTTTCTAAAATAGCACAGCTGGCCTCAGTTTTCATTACATTGTTTGCAATAAAGCACCTATTATTTAACAAATTCATATATACAGATGGGAATAATGCAAAATGTAATAATGAAAAGTATTCGTTGTTTTGCGATTGCAATCCGATACGTTCGGGGTGCTAGGGCGGCGCTGGGCGGTTCGAGGGCGGCGTGACATGCGCTGGCGCACGCGACGAAACGCACTACGTTACATAATGAGAATGTGCCAATACAATACATTGTTGCTTGTATTGATTGTTGCTTTCTGTGTTGTGTTTTGTAAAAGTTTCTGCATGTGTGTGTTGGTGACCTATTTTTTGACATAGGTAGGTACCAACTTCTAAAAAAAGAAAGAGTTATATTGTTTCCAGGTCATTTTATTTACTGAGGTAATCCTCAATTTAATTATTGAAATATATGTAATTGGCAGCAATATAAAATTGACATGTGACGAAAATATGAAGTTTTTATCAATAGACAGTCAAACGCTTGCCAGCTTGCCAGCTGTTCACCCGAAAATCTGTGTCCGATTAAAAAAAAAATGTTTTAAAGATTTGAAATTAACATTCTTAATTTACGTATATCAACAAAAACAAACACATGTACTACCGACACACTGGCAACAGTCAACAATAGAACAGTACTGCGCGCGCGCTCCTTGGACGGTTTCGCGCCTGCGCAGCGTGCGCCCCGAGATTACAATAATTATGAGCACACGCCTCACCCACTCTGCTCTAATAACTATCATTTGCTCATGTTATTCTATATTCTATACAAAATGCTTGCCCTATCGCTTTGTGACATCGCCGGACCTCATTGTAAATATCACGGCACGAATTATTTAAAAAGTAAATGGGTAGATTTTGACTGACGCTAATGGATATTGTTTAGTTACATGCTTATGTTGGTACTGTCGCGTTTAGTGTCTGCTATGTTCTAAAGCTGTGATTACACTTACTACGTATGTAGGTAAAAAGGGTTTAATAATGTTATTTTATATTTTGTTGAAACTTTTTTTGCGATTTCTATACGTAACTATTTTGTTCTAGCTTCTGCCCGTGACTTCGTACGCGCAATCCCGTTTCTCCCATTCCACTAAGATTTTCAGGACTTTCTTCTGTCATAAGAGCCTTCTCCTGACGATGACGAAACACGACACAACAAAAAAAGATCAGCCAAATCAGTCTAGCCGTCCTCAATTTCTGGCGTGACAACGGGAAACGGATTTCATTTTTATATACTTATGTATATAGATTACCATCATCAATCACCCGATCGATGGGTCTCCTCTATAAAAAAGGTACAAATAGAAATACAACTAGGTATTATTTATTTTGTCAATGTTCGCTTGATATTATCTTTACACTTTAAAACGCAGTTTAAAACGATTAGGTTTATCAGAGACCAGAGTTCAGATACCTACGTATATGACTACTTAAACAATCTACTCCGTATTCGTGTACCTACACTCCGTACCCAAAACTATAAAAACAAAATCAAAATAATATCTACGCCATCTGTCGTATCGGATATTTCGCGTGATACCAACATTGTGAGGTAAGAGTATCCTGTCATAGGATCCGTATCCGCCCTCTTTTGGTGCGGGACAGTAAAAAATGGAGCAATTTTTATAATAGTCGCATGGGGTAACGATCTCGATGGTCTTCATTATAGGACCGGATACATTTATTACTTACGTTTTGGATGGTGTAAAAATTGTCTAAGGTAATAAAAATAACTGAAAGATGTTGTTTCAAGATATTGTTTACCTACTAGAAAAATAGTGATTTGTTTTTCATGCGCGGACAGGTGGGCTGCAAATCACCGCGCGGCTTTGACGCTTGAGTGGTTATATTTTGTTCTTTTAATTCCCAGATCGAAATGTGCGTTAATTTAATTTCATCATCATCATCATATCAGACATAGGACGTCCACTGCTGAACATAGGCCTCCCCCAATAACTTCAATAATTAATTAATAGGCATGGCGACTATTTTTTAATTTTTTGTCGTCTTTTAGATATTTCAAAAATCTTCGATACGTATTTTTTCTTTTTTCTCGTATCCAAAAAAAAACATGTAGATATTTTGAGTTAAAATGACGCGTGACGTCACAATTAGGTACGATTTCTCCGTAAGTGTGACGTCAACACCTCCCACTCCCTAACTTTAATGCGGAATAACTACGTATTCTTCTGTTAATTTGATAAAACAAAAAATACGTGTCTGATATTTTCGTGCGATCTTAATGACGGACTAATTACTTTTTTGATTTTTTTACCCTGTCGACACGCCTATTCTTCAATTTAATTTAGATAGCGAAAATTTTAAACTATGTACTGAGACGTTAAAGGCTCAAGACGGTATTTATCGTAATTTTTTGCTAAGTTAGAACCAGCAAGAGTAAGTACTTACTGCTACTCGCGAGGTGAAGTTTCAGACACTGTAGCTATTTTACTCACGTAAAATCAACGTTAAGAATTTAATAGGAAGGTACAGTCAGGCGTCAGTTAGATCGAGAAATAGTATACGAGTTTCGGTCATAGAGATTGAGAAATTTGCCCACAATTATGATAAGTTGTTGATAATAATAATCAATAATGGTCATTCACTCGCTGAACTTCCCGATAATTTGCTACAGTACACAAAATTATGTAGATAATAAGATAAACACATAGTCAATATGTTTTATGACTTTCTCTCATGTTATGGAAGTGAACTAGATTAGTCGCTCAATTAATGCTCCAAAAGGAAGGCGAACGATTCATTACATTTCACAAGATCTTCCGTTACACTATTTATTGAGAAATCTCGATCATAAGTTTAATAATTTCCTATGGGAAAATTGTTCACGTGGTCATTAAAATTTACTCAACGATTGTGGTTGTTGTTCTTGAAGTTGACTTTTGTATCTACTGAATAAATGTTCATACCTTGTTATGCTATGCTACGACCTCGTATAACTAATAAAGAAAGCACTCAGATACCTATCAACAACGAAAAGGTAATAAGTATAAAACGTAATATCGTAACATAGACAGGGGTCAGTACTCTAGTAAAACAATCAGAGATTTAATTTCCCGACGCAGTAAAGTGCGTAGTACATTAGTTTTGCGTGTACGACGTAAGCCCGCCCTCGCGGCCGCCCTGCGCCAGTCGCCGCCCCGCCGTAAACAAACGCGCACAGACGCGCACCGAGCGAGACGCAGCAACCGTGCGAGGGAGACGCACAACCCGACACGGACCCGAGAACCCTACAATTAACATTTAGTAGGCGAGATTCGTTCGCCGCATCGATTCGTTACGAGATAATTGTTCCCCGAAAATTTTCTTTGACATGGAAAAATTGTCACGCGTGTGATAGTGACTTTGTGTGACGTATAGAGGCTGATGGCGATATGAACTGTGCGTACTATCAGCAGCACGGGGCGCCGCACCCGGCACCCCATAATGTCAATAACAATTACTTCAACGAGGTAAATATGAGACTTTTTATTGCAAATTCTTGTTAGAAAAATACTGATTTTACTTTCGTGTATTTTTTCATGCTCAGTATTTCATTTGATTTAGCATTAGATACTTATTACTGAAACAATTTTATTTAATCTATTTTATTTTTTTACTATTTAAACAACGGCACGAGGCTAAAAAATATATTAAAATTAAAATAAACAAAATGTAACTTCAAAATTGTTAATCATAAAATAATTTTGTGAAATCATTAAAGGTCACAAATATTGCAGAAACAACTAGTTCAGCACCCACCTACGTATACCTAAATATTATGGCCATAAAGTAGGTACCTAACAAAAATAACATAAAAATCACTAAACACACTAAATAACACCAGAAATTATAAATCATTTTACAACATTAATTACAGGACGACACGTCATTTAATAAAAAAAAAACACTATAGGCAAGGACAAAACAAAATCACAACACAATACCACACATTGATTAGCTATTTCATTGACAGAAATTAGTCGGTTCGAAATTCGAATACACGCAAAAACTTCACGGTTGAACATGACAAACAAAAGGCGTTCGGCGATACCAACGTACAGGACAAAGAAATGCGAATAAAAATATTTAATTGGTGTGATTATGTTGGTAATGGCACAAACACCTCCCGTCGTGTAAACTTTACAGTCACCTCGACAATAACAGCGAGATGCCTTTCGTTTATTGTTGTTTCTAAGATTAATATAATACTGTTTATTATAAAATGTTTTACGTAAATATGTAGACAATGGATTGTGAAAGGTAATTTTGTGTCGAACCGTAATTTGGATATTTTATAACAGAGTCAAATAATTTTGACAATACAAGAATTCATATCTAACTATCTTAATTATCAGGTAGTATCTACCTAACTACATGAAGTCTAGGCATCTGTATACCTATATTTTATCATGTCTAGATTGTCTAATTTGTAGATAATATCTTCATAAAATTATTACATCTATCCACCTAAATACCTATTTCTTAATTTCAACATAATTTTACTTAAAAACATAATTCCTACATCTACTTTTTACCAGTCTTCGTATAGATACCAAGTAAAGCGTTGCTTAAAAGATATCAGATTTTTATCTAAGCTTCTATCCTAACAGTAAGTAGTTCGGTATACATTAGCCATTGGCCGAATATATAATTATCATAATGTGGACTTAAAATGTTAAAATATATTTTGGAGTTACAACGGCCAGTCATCGTAATTAAGCGTCCGATCCACTGGCACCTACTGTTAGGAGCGGTGACCAAACAATGCGGAGGCCAATCACCTGCTATTATATTTAAATTTCAATTAATATGAAGATAGTTTTAGTGAAAAAGTTTAAATGAATCAAACTGGAAACTGGCTTAGAGAAAAGTGTGAAATAAACCAGTTAAGTACAGAGAGGAAATCATGTCGACTAACTGCGTTTATAAGAAAATTTCAGTAGCCTTGAAATTATTATTTTTTGTTTGTTTACCTACTACCCACAGTCGCATGACACATTTTCTGTAAAAATGAAATATGAAAGTGTGTGGCACGGCATGGCTCGACGACAATCATCAAAACGCCCATTAAAAAGTTAATCTTCTAAATTCGTCCGCCAGTTACTGGCCAGTGGCCTTGCTGTAATTAAACTAGGGAGACTTAATGTAAGGAATTCTGCGAACTCCGGCGAACGTTGCGCAACGGAGCGGCGCTGACACGGCACACTTGAGCTCGCCTCTTACTTACAAGTCCGCCAAAGCGAAAAACTCAATGAAAATAGGTCGAGAGATATTATGAACGTTCTTGGCTACAATTAAACACCGAAACTATCTCGGTCCTCTTTCATTCACATTGCCGTTTTCTATAGAATATCGGAAACTGGAACCATCTCCGAAACAAGTCCAAAAAAGCAACATCAATTTTGCGAAACTTTGATGCTGACCAAAAAACCCGGTATTCTAATTTCCCAGCTTGGCTATCTGCGGCTAGCTAGCGGGGTGAGGGTTGAGGCCCGGGGTGCACACTGTTGGGTCTCGCAATTACGGGGCCCATAATTACAGGGCTGGCAGCCGCGCGGCGCCGAAACCAGCCCGCTCTGAACCATTCTCCTGGCGTAATTAAAAAAGCTCCAAATTAAATTCGCTCGTGTATACGGCCCCGACTTATGATATTAACTTTTTAGGGACTTTCTAATTAGTTTTTTGTTTTCCTGCTTTGACTGATGAGAAAATAGGAAATCAACTGTGTTTTATACTACGGGGATCGCTTTTTGTCAAGAGCTGTTTGGATCGGAGTAATTAAATGCGAATTTGGTGTTTTGTTTAACTGAATTACCATAACTCTGTTGGTGGTCCTTCCTGAATAACAAAATGTGAACTTCCTTTACGAGTGACAATTAAACAAGCATATTAATTTTCAAAGTGACGCTTACCCTATACGGACGGAACCACCTTACAACAAAGTTAACTTCTACCTTCCACTTGAACATTTCGAAGAACTGCGCAATAACACGAGGGCAAACTTTACTAAGGACCTGATGATTTCAGCCTAAACTTATAGGTAACTTTTATTCTAGGGTATTAGGTAATATGTTCTACGAGTAGGTCT